TGCACAGAAAACATTTTAACAAAGTTGTTGTTCTATTGTTACACGTAGGTGGAACAAACTCGAGAACGAGCAACGTCTAGGGAGAGGGCAGCCCAGTCCAAGCTGTTGGATTTGGAGACACAGCTGAGCAGGAATAAAACAGAGCTGAACCAATTGCGTCGGAACAAAGACGATGTGAGTGACTTGCAAGGGATGCTCTTGCTGTGGCTGGTGGTGTCCTGGCAGCAACTGGAGTCCATAAACCAAGGTCCTGTGGACGTGCTGCGAAAATCACACGGAGCTGTGTCTGAATGTGACGTGCTGTCAATGGCAGATGGGTGATATGACATCTCATGTCTGTTATGTCACTGATTTAGGAATGCAGACTCACAGTTGCTTCTTAGTTATAGCAATGATCTGAATGAAGTTGCTCTAAACTTCTGTGTAAGAAAAGAATCAAACTTTTCTTATGTTTAAATGAGATTTGCACCAGATATCATGGACAGATTTCAACTTCATTTACTATGCTTGGTTATATGAGAGAGAATGCAATTTCTCTTCTAGAGGAAAGGATTTCTGCTGGAAGAAAAAAAGGGGAATATTCCATAATTTCTTATTTACCCTGCTTGTTTACTTGAGTTTTACTTGGAATTGGGTTGGCACATGGATCGGGTCAAGTTGCTTTTCTGAAAAGAGTGTGTTTGATTCCGTATAACTGTAGCTAATCAGTTTTAAAAGCCTGACTCATGAGCTGTGTTGTCTCCTGTTTTTATCAGTGGGTTGCCAAGTGGAGTTGAAAATGAGCAGAACAAATTATAAATATCGTAGCACCATCTATGGTAATGTCGTTTACTGCTGTGCTAATTCTTTCTGTCCTCAGCACTTTTTGGGAGCAGCTTAAGTTTAATGTGAGTAGGATGAATGTTGCTGTCTTTCAGCCTGTGTTTTGTGCTTCTTCGTGTAGGCAGAGCGCCGGTATGAAAGTCGCCTGCAGGATTTAAAGGATCGGTTGGAGCAGTCGGAGAGCACCAACCGCAGCATGCAAAACTACGTCCAGTTCCTCAAGTCTTCCTATGCCACTGTTTTTGGAGCAAGAGCTTTGCTG